GGGGGGGGGGGGGCGCTCAAGCACATCCCATATGAATGAAACAATAGAACTTCCAAACATAAACAACAATGTTGCATGAATGAATATGTGAACGTATAAAAAAGGGGTGGGGAGAGGAGGTCTCAAGCACATAACAAAATAACTAAAACAATAGAATATCTGACAATGAAACCAAGCCCACAAGTCAATAGATCATGATATGTATAAGGCGTCAAGAAAACGCCTTTTAGCAATCATAACTTTCAGCTCCTTTGTGCACAACATCTAAAACAGATACAATCAACTTAGGACCCTCGGTTTAATGACCAATCATTCATTCAACGCTACATAATTCGTCTTTTAAAGCAAATCTGGTCTCTCTAAAGCTAGAAATTTTCTAAATCTCTCAATTATTCATTCATGAATATACAAAATGCCAGACATAGATTAAGGTAATTACAACAACATAGACTACATTCATTTACAAGTTCATCTGAAAGGAATAAAAATAAATCACCATGAATAGATTCATCAACATGCGCATAAAAATTTAAACACACCTCAAAGGCTGTCAAAATTTCTTCTTCTCAGATGAATAAAACCATATAACTTACGATACAATAAACAATCACCATGAATGAACAAACCAGGATAAGTGAGACATATAAACAAAAACCTAATAGAAGATCACAATTTTCAGCATCTCAATTAACATAATAATAGCACTTGTGATATTAAAAACAGTCGACAAGTTAACAAATCAGGATATGCATAAACATAAACATTTAAAGAAAGCCTCGTGGGCACTCACAATTTTCAGTTTCACAATAAATAGAATCATAGAACTTAAAACAGTCTCACAAGATAATAAATCAAGATATGCATAAGCATTCAAACAAACAAATTGTAGGCAATCACGGTTTAATAAATCAGAAATACACAAACATTCTAACAAACACCTTGTAAGCAATCACAATTTTACGCTTCTCAAATGAACAAGATAATAAAATTCACAACAATAAAAAACAACCAGCACAAGTTAATAAATCAAATATGAATAAACATTTTAACAAGCACCTTGTAGGCAATCACAATTCTCGGCTTCTTTACGAACAACATCGAGAACCGAATCAATCAACTCAGCGCCCTCAGTGTAATGACCCTTAGCCCAATTATTTCCCGCACCAGACTGGCCAAAAACAAAGTTGTCAGGCCTAAAAATCTGACCATAAGGCCCAGATCTAACACTGTCCATAGTACCAGGCTCTAAATCCATAAGAACAGCACGAGGTACAAAACGCCCACAACTCGCCTCATTATAATAGACATTTACCCTCTCAAGTTGAATATCCGATTCCCCATGGTACGCGCCGGTGGAATCGATCCCGTGCTCCGCGCACACAACCTCCCAGAACTTGGCCCCAATTTGGTTGCCACATTGGCCACCTTGGATATGGAGGATTTCACGCATTTTATTAGGGTTTCGTTCGAAGGAGGGAGGAGAAAGGGAGAGGATAGTTGGTGGATTTTCTGTGTGAGAAATGTGAGAGGAGAAAAAGGGATAATGAGGAGTTTATATAGTAAGGGTTGTTTGGAGGGGAGGGGGTTTGTGGTTTTTGAAATTTGAAATGTTTGAGTGGTGGGAAAATTTAAGTCCGGACTGCCGGACAGGTGGGTGGGTGGTACTATTTGAAGACGTTATGTGTAAGCGGTAAATAATCTACGGTTTAGTTTGTGAAAAGTGAAAAAATTAAATTTGAAATAATTTTCTATTAAAATTCTTGTTTATGTAATGAAATATATTTCAGATCGATTTGTAACTTGGGTATAATTTAAAACTTGAATTTGGTCGTGAATGAAAAAGAGATCATTTTGATTTTACGTTTAGTTGTCAAAATTACTTTTGATATATGATGTTTATTTTCCATCGAGTGTGAAATTAATTTAATTCTTATAATTTAATGCATTTATTGCCTAATTTAATGACATTTAGCCTCCTCCCTCTCATCTTCTCTAATTAGTATTAAAACCCGTGCGATGCGCAAATATTTTGATAGAGTATTAATCTTATGAAATTATAATATGATTTAATATTATTTTAATAAAATTTAGTTGCTATTTTATTTTGTAATGCAGCGTGCATAAATAAAACAAAATCTATATAAATTTAAAGAATACACATCATATGGTAATCAAATAAATTATTTTATTCTTATTTAATTCTTTAATAAATTAGCAAGTGCTTAGTATTATTTATTTTTTACTAATGTGATTTTTTATTAACTTGTCAATTGTCCTAATATTTTGTCACTATTTCTTTTAATATAAAATAGATATATTTTTCTTACTCTAAAAATATTTTTACTTTTTTAAACTTATGTTATATTATTTTTGCAAAACATCTACCAATATTTTTAATAATTTTTATTTTATGTTATATATATATATACATACATATATAATATCCTTATATTAAGTATAAATATCCTAATAATATTTTTATATTTTTGAATTATTCAATATGGAATTAGGAATTCTATTTATTAACTTTTATATATAGAGAGAGAGAGAATGTTTTCTTATCAATAATACTTTTGAGTATGTTTATTTATTATTTTTATTTTATGTTTAAATTAATTAAAAGCATAAATTCTCTCACGTTATCTCTAATTTCCCTCTTTCTGTATTAGTTTCCCCTATTATAAATTTTATATAATTATTTTATTTAGTATTTAATCCAATAATAGATAACATAAAATAAAAGTGCATATGCCCATACTTTATAATTTACCAAAATTTCAGGTATTTTTTACATCTTTGGAGTTTTATTTTCCAATTCAAAAGTTTGGATAAGATTTGATTTATTTTATTTTTCAATTCAAAATTTTTGACAAATTTTGAATATGATTTGATTTAACAAAATAAATATAGAGAGGATATATAGATTATTTTTATTTTATTATTAACATATAAGATTCAAAATTAAATAATAAAAAATTTAATTTA